GTGCCTTCCATTTGCCGAATTCGCTTATAACAACAGCTATCAATCTAGCTTGGGTAAAGCCCCTTTTGAAGTTCTCTATGGACGACGATGTCGAACACCCCTTAACTGGTCAGAGACCGGGGAAAGACAATTCTTTGGCCCGGATATGATTCAGGAAGCAGAAGAGCAAGTTCGTATCGTTCGTGAAAAGTTGAAAACAGCCCAATCTCGTCAAAAGAGTCAATATGACCGAAAACATAAGGCTATGACTTTCGAGGTTGACGAGAAGGCTTATCTTCGGGTCACCCCTCTGAAGGGAACCCATCGTTTCGGTATCAAAGGCAAATTGGCTCCTCGTTACATTGGACCTTTTCGCATTCTTGCCAAACGAGGAGAAGTTGCCTACCAGTTGGAACTACCTCCGCACCTCTCCAGAGTTCACGATGTCTTCCACGTTTCTCAACTCAGGCGTTGCTTCTCGGATCCTATCCGTGAAGTGGACCACGAAACGCTTGATCTCCAAGATAATCTTACATATCGAGAGTACCCCGTTCGTATCCTCGATCAGGCCGAACGTACCACCCGACGTCATAATATCAAGTTTCTCAAGGTTCAATGGTCGTACCATTCTGAGGATGAAGCAACTTGGGAAAGGGAGGATCGTCTTCGACTCGAGTACCCCGCCTTCTTTCCGGAGGAACCCAAATCTCGGGACGAGATTCTTTTGAGTGGGGGTGAGTTGTCACAACCTAGCTAGTCATGCATTAGAGTGTTGCATCATGTTTACTCTTTCATCAGAAACTTGAAATGGGGATGACAGAACCCCCAGTCCCCTCTGAAACCAACTAGGGTTTACTAAAATAATTTTCAATGAACCTGAAATGCCCTTCTAAAATGCCCATCATTTTTGTCTTGGTTCAGAACCTCTGCCAAAAGTGGTGCACATTTTCCTAGGCCATCTTAGGGTTTTTGAATTAATTCATAAATATTTGAATTTGGGCATTTAAAATAATATAAAATATTTAAATGCTCAAATATCTCCAAACTAAAATGTTTCATGTTGGAAATAATCCAACTATGGGCCAGGAATAGTTTGGTGATTTTTGAACTTGCCTAGGTATTTTATTTAATTCAACAAAGTTGCAGATTATTAAATAAAACAAAAACAGAAAAATATATAACAGGAGGAGCTTACCTGGGCTCCTCCACTGTGCGGCCCAGCCAGCTGGCTGGCCCAGCCGGCAGCCGGCCCAGCCCACCTCCCTCCTCTGTCGTCTTCAACCCGACAGAGGGAGGGGAGTGTGGCCGGCGCGCGCGCACGGCCACCGCGCCACGCCACCTGCTCGCCTGCTTGCCTGGCCTCCCCTCCTCGCTCGACTCCCTGGACGACGCCACGCCCTCCCCCCTGCTCTCTCTCACTCTCCCCCGGCTCTCCTCTCCTCTCCCTCGCTCTCTCTCTCGTCCGGCCGAACACCACACTCGCCGCCGTTCGCCATAGCCACCGTCTCCGACCACCCCTCGCTCCCCCGACTAGCTCAGGAGCTCCGCCACGACTCCCTCTTCCTCCCCACCGCTCCACAGCTCCCCGGAAGCCCTGCATCGCCGCCACGTCGCCGTTCCCCTCTTCGGGCTCCGACCACCATCGCCGTTGAATTCGCCGTCTCCAGTGCGTCCCCGAGCCCGCTTCGACGCCCACTACAACCGCGGTGAGCTACGCCACCGTTTCCCCCTCTCCTTCCCCTCGTTCCCTCACCGTAGCCACCTCCCCACCACGGCCGAACCTCCGCCGTCGCCGAGCTCGCCGTCGACGCAGCTCCGGTGACCATTTGGTCACCCCGGCGAGTCCAACAAGTTCGCAAGACCCCGTAGAGCATCCCTAGCGCCTCGCTTTGCTCGACTTCGAGCTCCAGCACCGTTCACGTGCACGACCGAACCCCGGCGGCCGCAGCCGAGCTCGCCGCCGTCGACTCCGGCCACCCCGACCCCAGCGGGCTCCGCCAAGAGCTGCGGGTTGGCCTCAGCTCCACTCCGGTGGTCTCCGCAGTCCGTTTGGTGGCCGAAATGACCAAAACCACTTCCGCCGCCGCGTCGGGCTCGCCGACGGCTAAACGCCGGTGCAGCGGACTCGGGTTTGACCACGGGTGGGCCCTGGTTGACTCCCCTGAGTCAATGACAGGTGAGGCCCAGCCCTGTTAATTAAACAGGATTAGTTTTAATTAAGTTTTAATTAAAATAATCACCCTGACATGCGGGACCCACTGTCAGGTTTGACCTGGACCAGTTCCGTTGACCTGCTGACGTCACACTGACGTCAGGCTGACGCAGTAATTGATTTTCTGGATTTAATTTAAATTAGGAAATTCCAGAATATTATTTAAACTTCAAAAATTCATAACTTTTATTCTGTAACTCCAAATTGGACAAATTATATATGAAAAATGATCAGAAAAATCCAAGCTATCCATCTGTACTATTTTCATGCATGATCAAACAATTTAAATTGATGTTTTAAGCAGAACAAGAAAAGGCACTTTAAAAGGCCATATTTGAATTTGGAATTTGAATCTTTGATTCAAATTTGTTCAAACCCTTCTGGCTTTAGTTGCATTAGCCCAATACACTCATATTGCCATGTTTCATGCATGCATCATATTGTTGCACATTGTTTGGTGATGCTTGTGTATCGATGCCCTTTGCGACAGGTTCTGTCCCCGAGGAGTACCGTGATTACCCTAACGAAGAACCGTATCCGTGCATCGAACCATCAGGCAAGCAACCAACCATTTGATCATATCGATACAATCCCATGTTCTCGCTCCTGCTCTCTTTTACTGCATTAAGACAACGCGTTTCAAACTGCTGTGTGCTACGGTAGTTGAACCCATTTCCTCTGCATGACCTGTCATTGCCACAGTAACTAGATGAAACCCACTAGCATGTGTAGGAGTTGTTTGAGCCATATGTATGTGTTGTTCCTACCTTGCTATGCCTGCTATGCTTAGAGTCGTGTCAGGTCTGGTTCATCTGGGTGATGGGCTAGAGTGAAATGTTTATCTCGGTAATGAGAGTGGTGTGGTGAACACGATTTGGTAAAGGTATCGATGAGAGGCCATGTAGGAGTACATGGTGGGTTGTTTCATTGAAGCCGACCTTAAGCACTGAGATCTGTATGCGTGATTTAAGATACATCTACTACCATGCATTGGGCCCTGAAATATGACCCCGCTCGGCTTCTTATTCACCCTAGCTCTCTGTCCAGGAGTTGCAAGTAGTTTCTGGTGTTTGTAGCCTACTGGAGGCCGTGGACAGCGCTGACCGTAGGGGTGGGCTGTGATGCGGTAGGTACGTGGCACGGTGTACCGAATACCCGTTAGGTATCTCGGGAACCCTGTTCACATCGTTCGGGGCCGTATGGGAAACCCCGGCCGGACTCCCTGCGGATGGAACCTGAATAGGCGATAAACCTGGACTAGAGGCTTAAGTGTTTAGGTAGGTCGTGGTCTACACCCACGTCGGCTTTCGCTTGAAGTCTGCCGAGCACATGTCGTGTGCAGACGCTAAGTGGTGGAAACATGTATGAAGAAGTACACCCCTGCAGGGTTATCATAATCTATTCGAATAGCCGCGTCCGCGGTAAAGGACTACTTGGTTGCCTATACAGTTCATAGACAAGTAAATGGATACTACTAAAAGCCTCAAGATAAGTGTGAGTGCCGAGGATGGCTCTTCCGTAGGAAGACGGAGGTGGATCCTCGGTAGTGTATTGAAGTGGTGAGTAGTGGACTCGTGTGCGCAAAACAATTTCAGTTGGAGTATCGTAGGATAGCTTAGCCAAGAGTCAAAGCTGGCTTGCTGCAATAACTCCACCAACCCTTCTTGATACTATGCATGTATGTAGGATCTGATGTAAGTCTTGCTGAGTACCTTTGTACTCATGTTGCTATAATCTACATTTTTACAGAAGACGCTGCAACCCCTTCCGATGGGTTCTATGTAGACGTTGACATCAACGAGTAGGCTAAAGACCCAGGTGGTGACCCTGAGCTTGTGATGGACCACGTAGTATAGTTAGGCTTCCAAGCCTCTTTTATTTTACTAGTTGTCTGTACCCAGACAAAGTACTTCCGCTGTTGGCTTGTATGACTGTATGACTTGTATGTTGGGTCGTGAGACCCGTACCTGTGTGTATGATATGTATGGCTCCCTGAGCCTTAAATAAAGTACTTGTGTCATAGATTCATGTTGTGATGCTTCGTTGTATTTGCACATATCGAGCATATTGTGTGTATGATTGAAATGCTTGGTATGTGTGGGTTCTGACTATCTAGTTGTTTATCTTTAGTAGCCTCTCTTACCGGGAAATGTCTCCTAGTGTTACCGCTGAGCCATGGTAGCTTGCTACTGCTCTGGAACACTTAGGCTGGCCGGCATGTGTCCTTCTTCGTTCCTGTGTCTGTCCCTTCGGGGAAATGTCACGCTTTGAGTACCGGAGTCCTGTTAGCCCGCTACAGCCCGGTTTACCGGAGTCCTGCTAGCCCAGTGCTACAGCCCGGACCCACTTGCTGATGACCGACACGTTCGAAGCTGGGTCATGGATGCCTGTCCCTGTAAGTCTGTGCCACTTTGGGTTTACGACTAGTCATGTCAGCCCGGGCTCTTTATCATATGGATGCTAGCGACACTATCATATACATGAGCCAAAAGGCGCAAACGGTCCCGGGAAAAGGTAAGACGACACCCGTGGAATACCGTGCGTGAGGCCGCAAAGTGATATGAGGTGTTACCAGCTAGATCGATGTGACATCGAGTCGGGGTCCTGACAACGTGGCATGTTCAAACTTACCCAGGGATCATTTTCATCCAAGTGGTTGAATCTCAGGGCAAAAACATTGCCTGCAATAGAGGCTTGGGTATATAGTGAGTACTATACCTCTCACCAGTCAGCCAGTCATCCCATTCCCATTCACCACCAGACCTGAAACGTACGCAACGCAGGCGAAGACCATCGGTCCAAGCCAACCATGAGGCCGCTCACCTACGTCTTCTTCCTCCTGCTCATCTCGTCAACCTGCGAGTCCTCTAGTACATTAGAAGACACATGCGAATCCTTCGCCGCAGGCCACCCGTCCATCGGCTACAACTACTGCGTCAAGACCTTCCACGCCGACAACGCGAGCGCCACCGCCGACGCGCGCGGTCTCGCCGCCATCGCGGCAAAGATCGCGGGGGCGGCGGCCAACAGCACGGCCAGACGCATCGCCGCATTGTGCGCCTCGGAGGAGGACGTGGGAAGGCGGGAGCGCCTCGGCGTGTGCGCGGAGGTGTACTCTGACGCGGTGGACCAGCTCGGCGAGGCCGCGAAAGACGTCGCCCGGGGCGAGGACAAGTCCACCCGGGACGCGCTGACGCAGCTCAGCGCGGCGCTGGACGCGCCTGGGACCTGCGAGGACGCGTTCGGCGAGGCCGACGACACGTCGCCGCTGGCCGCTGAGGACGCCGAGTTCAGGAAGCTGGCGACCATCGCCCTCGGCGTCACGGCGTTGCTGTCACCTCCGCCATCGGTGCCGGGGATTAGTGACTGATAGTGCGTCTGTGTTGAGCATGCTTAGCATGGACAAGCAGGATCAAATAAGTTCTTCCGATGATTTCTATTGCAAGTGCGTGGTTTTTAATCTTTTCGTGCTTTCGTTTGGACGTGTTTGATTGTGTGGTGAGTGCGCTGCATGCCTCGCATGCAGTGGTTTGATCAATGGTGCTGTGGTGGGCGAGTGGCCAGCTTGGAATCTGCTCGCGCTTTTTTCGATCTTTGAACGTGGGGTGTTGGTTATGCATGTGTGTCGTGGAACGTTGAGTGGAAGGAAGGCATGCTGCCTGCTGTAGCGCACCTTTGCCTTCCGATCTCGGCATATCTTTTTTCTCTCCATGGTTCATGGACATATATATGGTGTTCAATATTCTTTATTTGAGCTGACTGATCAGTGCCAGGCTGGCAGCTGCAAGAGGGCTATGGATATTCATATGGGCTAACGGCATCTTCAAGGGGGACGTGTAAATCTCTCGCAACCTTTTCGACTGGCTGTTTGGACCATCGAAGCCATCCAACACGGCCATGTATCGATTCATGGGGCGGTCCGGACGTGATTTTTTCATAAAAGTGGAGAGCTTTGCGGGAGTCCGGTCACGCCAAACGTACGAATCCGACACCCCGGGCCCAACCAAAACCCTTCCCGGACCCCGCTACTCCATCCTCCTCATTTTCTCTCCTTCCTTTTTTCTCTCTTGCCGCCGCCGCCGCTCGACCACCCCGGCCACCACGCCACACCCTTGCCGGAAATCCTCTTCTCCGTCACCTCCGGCGATCCAGCAGGGCTCCCCGCCGCTTCTCCTCCGTCTGCATTCAACCCCCTGTCCTTCGACCGCCCTGCCAGGTACCATCCTCTACCATGCCCGACAACTGCTCGATGAATCGTCAGAGCTGAAAACAGGTGTCCCTTCTTGTTTGTACCAATGGATTACGATTTGGAGTACATATACGAGCAGTATGTTGAGTCCTTCGACGGCTCATCGGACTAGGAGGAGTACTCCGATGAGACGGCGATGATGTAGGCGGTCCTTGAAGACGCGGAGCGTGCGGAGGAGCATGTTCTCAATTTTAAGGGCTCGATCAAGGATCATCGAGTGCTCAAGCGCAACAGGGCGTGCGGGCATTTGACACTGATGGCCGACTACTTTGCCCCCGATGCACTCTTCGCTTACAATTTTCGCCAGCGTTTTCGGATGCGCAAGACCGTCTTCGATCGTTTGTTTAACCATGGCGTCTGGTCCTACGATAACTACTTCATCCTGAAGAAGGACGGCGTGGGAATGATTGGCTTCTCTGGTTACCAGAAGTGCACAGTCTCACTCCGGATGCTTGCATATGGCACATCCGCTGATTTGTGGAACGAGTACCTACGGATGTCTGAGAGCACATGCGGAGATGCCATGGTCAGGTTTGCAACTGCCGTGGTCGATTTGTTCGGACCTTAGTACCTGAGAGAACCAACTGTGGCTGGCACCGAGTGGCTCCTGGCAATCTCGTAAGCAAGAGGGTGGTCAGCTTTGCTTGGATCTCTTGACTGCATGCATTGGAAATGGGAGATTTACCCGAAGGCTTTACAAGGGCAATATCAGGGTCATGTTAAGAAGCCCACCATCATTCTTGAAGCAGTTGCATCACATGATCTTTGGATTTGGCACGCTTTCTTTGGCATGCCCGGGTCTCACAATGACATCAATGTGTTGTGACGATCGCCGTTGTTTGCGAGGCTGACTGAAGGAAAAGTTCTCCTCTTTGCCACTATACTGTCAATGGACATGAGTACATCATGTGCTACTATCTGGTTGACGGTATCTATCCTTCATGGGGTACCTTATATACAACATCTCAAACCCAGTTGGACAGAAAAAGGCTCACTTTGCCCAAAGACAAGAAGCAGCTAGAAAGGATGTCAAGAGGGCATTTGGAGTTCTTCAGGCCCGTTTTGCAGTTGGTCGTGGACCTGCAAAACAATGGGATCTGGAGACCTTGTGAGCAGTGGCGGAGCTATGTGTGCTCCTGGGGTGGCTGTGGCCCCCCTAGGCTTGGCAAAAAGTGTGAAGGAAAATTTTTTGGAGGGTGTAGATGAGTATAAATTTAGTATTTGGCCCCCTCAAGTCTGGATGTTTTATCGTTTGCCCCCCCTGAACTTCCTCCCTAGCTCCGCCAGTGCTTGTGAGAGGTGATGACATGTTGTGTGATCATGCACAACATGATCGTCGAGGATGAGGGTGATGATGCTGCCGCAGCTCTGGAATGTGAGTACATGGGTGATCCTATTTGAGGAATTTATTCAAATGCATCAACAAATTCGGCATCGAACAACTCACGAGAAGCTCAAGGAGGGTCTGATTGAGCATCAGTGGGCGGTGAAAGGGGACAACAATGTTGGGATGTAAAATATTTGAACTTCCAAAAAAATTAACTACTGCTACATGCGGCTATTTGAACTTATGTGCCCTTTGCATGCGGTTACTTGATCGTGCGGACTGGAGGAAAAATCCGAAAGGTCGGATGTATGCGGCTACGGTTGGATGTCGACCTCCCGTATCCGTGCCCGCAGACTGGTCCCCCTGTCCATGGACGGATGCGGGAGATTTTTTGTGGGTTGTCGTTGGAGATGCCCTAAGAAAACAGAGTGCGGATGATCCTACACGGTGGTGGGCCCAAAAAGTCAAATTCTGCTTAAACTTCAATAATCTTTAACTTTTTAGCTTAACACTAATGGTATTTCATATAATTTCTTTAGGGTAGGGGGATGGAACATCCCCCCCTTGGCCCTAGTGGAGCTCCGCCACTTGTCCTCTGCACAAACGACATGATATGACTTTACACTCTGCAGCGTGTTCTAGTAGTCGGCGAAAGCTATACCTCTCTATTTAAAAATAGAATTAACTAATTAATATGGAAATCGGTAGAAAACCATGCAAGCTTGATCAATTTACAAAAAATTGGGCAAAAAGTGTACAAAATGACCACACTGCCTAGCTAAACTAGTCGTGGAGTGTCGCCAAACATGAGGAATCATGCCCCACATTAGGAGCCATCGCTCCAAGAACGACACATCTAAGAAGGAGACGGCGTCGAGAACGCTATCATGTTTTGATCTAGAAGCATGGTCTGGGTTTTCACTCGAAGTGACACCCCAAGGGTTAGGGAGGTGTTGGGTCTCCAAAACATCACCACCAAGGAGGAAACCGTTGCTCACGAGCATCGCCATTGCCTGCAACAACTAGTCGAGGAAGGCTTTTCTCAACAACGCCACACCCCTTACCACCACGGACCGTGGCAGTCCACACGACCTAATGAGCACACACACACACACACAACACCATGCCATGTCAACCTCGCCTCGAGGCCGTATCCCCAGTGCCCCAGTAGGCGCCCTACTTCCTGCACGACACGAAGAAACTGTTGTCGAAATGACCTCCCTCCGACATCCGCATGGAAGTGACGCGGTCAAGAAGGTTTGTGGAGCCACCCATGTCAAGACGCATGAGCTCCTCAGCTTAGGAGCTCGGGGTGTTGCACGTTTCCTTTGGAAGGCAAGTGCGGCCACCACCCCGCTTCTCTCTAACAACGAGGAGGTGCAGGAGAGGACCCTGAACGGCTAGGGTTTGGGCTCACCCGCTCGGGGACGACATACCGCATGAGCTGGGCTAGGCTAGTGCCTTGTTCCTCATTCCCTTAGCATAGCCACCCACCTCATCGTCGTCGACACCTCACCCATGATTACCATGACGTGCATTGTTGTATCCTTTACGTCGAACGAGCAAGCATGTCATGCTTCTCAAGCTCTGCTAAGGACTTGGAGGTCGTACACGCGAGGCTCTGCTACGGTCACAACCAATGCTCACTTTCATGGTTGACACTTGTAGACTGGTCTGCCCTACTATTCCCATT